AATGGATATAATGGATATAATGGATATGTAATGGATATAATGGATATAATGGATATAATGGATATATAATGGATATAATGGATATAATGGATATATAATGGATATAATGGATATATAATGTATATGATGGATATAATTGATAGAATGGATATAATGGATATAATGGATATAATGTATATAATGGATGTAATGGATATAATGGATATAATGGTGGATATAATGGATTAGATGGATATAATGGATATTATGGATTTAATGGATATAATGGATATAATTGTTTTATTAAGAATTTGAATAAAATAAATGTACAATTATGAACTTGAAAATTCCAAGACAAAAAGTATAGCCTCCTTTAACCGACAATTTGAATGGTCTGTGATTTTTTCTTAAATAAAAAGCAATGAATGGAATTGAGTATTTTCCACAAACTCAAGCTTTCACATCCCCATATACTTGCAATCTGACGGTTAAACCTTTCTTGTTTTCAACCTAGATGATTTGATCTAACAGAAATCATAGTTTGAAATATCTATGACTAAGACATTGGTTTGCAAAATATATGGATTAGAATATCAGAGTTTGTGGCAAGCATAATAGTATGAATACAAGGGACCAGAGTTCGCTGCAGGTACAAGTTCGCTCCAGGCATCACATCATTAACCCTCGATTAACCTAGAGAATTAAAAAAAAACGCATTTGTCCTATAAAATCCCACAAGAAGGGTTTGACACAACCATTTTTACAGTAGAAAATCTTCTTTGTTATCGATTACACACACATCTTTATTCTTTATTCTACAGGATTTAACACTTTTTCATTTTAACTATATTTTTTCATAAGAACTTTTCTCGTCGTTTTATTCTGATATGCGTCCGGTTTAATTTTGATATGTTTCTTAAGCCTTTTTAGAAACCACAGTTCCCAAAGTCTTAAGAATTTAAACTATACAGCGGGGAAAAAACATTAATGGAAAAAAATATTTTTCCCCTCTGCCTTTGATAATTTACATTATTGAATTTACGCTTACAGCTATAATCAGAACCATATGAGCAGAAGAGATTTCTACAATGTTTCGTAATTTCGAATACCTCAGCTTAATTAAAATACTTTAACTGACATACATTTTTCAGATTATAACAAGCATGAGCAAAGTAAAGAAAAGTTTCACATTGAATTTTGTATTGTATTTCTCAACAACCCTTTTTTGGAATATTGATCTTTTAGATATATCAAGGAAGGGACATGTAATCTTTGACTTACATAAATGGTTAGTTCAAATAATATGAAATAGAACTTTTTAGGTAGCTGTTCGATTGTTCTTTTAGCGCACCGTTTGTTAAAGGTATTCTTTGGTTACCATTCGTTAACGACCAAGATTTTATTAACGGTGTTAAAGTAAGATATTTAGATATCGTTAAATCGTCAATGGCGCCAGCAGAAAAGTTTTGAAATATGATATTATAGGCAAAAACAAGGTAATGGAGGAATTTTTGTACAGGGTGTCCCAATAAACATGGGAGTTCAGTGACGACTTTCACATCGTCTTCACGCGTTACATGAGGCATTTTTTCATGAACAAAATGATTGCAGTATTCCAGCTTAAACATCTAATATCGAAAGCGCCTGGTCTTGAGATTTTCAAAATGTTGTTTCTGAAACAAGAAAAGCGCGAGTCACTTTTGTAGAGAAACCACAAATAAAAATAATCAGTTTTCAAAATGGGAAACATGGATATTTAATGCAATACTTGATCTCCTTGATCAGACAAAGCTTTGAAGGGTATTGTTGTGAATCAGAATATAATTTTATTTCTTTTCTCAACCTTTTAGTTTGGGTGAGTGCAATGCAATGCAATGTAGAATGTAGATTGCCTGAGGAAGGGAAATGCAAGCAGATGTAATAATAAAAGAGCCCCCCCATGTGTGTCCCCCCTCAGTAAGGGGCACGGGTAGACTAAAACGTTAAAACGAAGAGAAAATTGATATTTTGAAATGCAACCTTAGTGTTAGATAAAATTCAAATATTAATATCTATTCCTCGAACCCCCCCCCCCTCTCAAGTTTCAAATCAGATAGACAAAACACACTATCCCAGCAGTTATACATATACAAAGAAAAGCTTTTTACTTCAGTTATAAGCAGCCAAAATATTTACAAACCCTTTCATAAATTTGGATGTACAGGGTTTTTCACAGAAGAGAAAACGATGAATTAAAATCTGGACATTTCAAAAGAAAAAAATTCTTTTAGTTGACATTTGTTTTTTGAAATCAAGGATTTATATATCAGGATTCAGGATCACCCTATACAGGGACATACCTGAAGGGGGGGGGGAGTGTTTGAATTTCATGTGACTCTCCATTTGTCGAGTGCCATGTCCGATTCACAACGGTACCCTTTAAAGCTTTGTTTTATCAATAGAATGCATGATGTGATATATTAATCATCATCTCTCCGAAAGTTAATTACTTTCATTTGTGGGTTCTCTACAAAATTCACTTACGCATTTCTGCTTCAGATACAATTTATGGGGAAAATTGTCTAAATAAAAAAATTATTATACAGAGCGTCCCATATCATATTAGACTATCTCCAATCTTTAACTCTAAAATACGCACATAATACTCGCAAAATCTAGCATTTTCTGCCAAAAAAAATTCTATTAGCCTTATCAAATTTTTTAAAGTGATTCATTCTTCTTAAATTTTCTGATTTTCCCGCCAAATCGGAATTTAGACCCATTTGACGCAGTCTAATTTGATGTGGGACACTCTGTATATAATATAGATATGCGGAATCCTTATGTACCTTCTTTGACCAAAACCAAGGATTTTACCATGAACGTCTAGCTTTGTTTCCAAATAATTTAACTGACATACATTTTTCAGATTATAACAAGCATGAGCAAAGTAAAGAAAATTTTCACATTGAATTTTGTATTGTATTTCTCAACAACCCTTTTTTGGAATATTGATCTTTTAGATATATCAAGGAAGGGACATGTAATCTTTGACTTACATAAATGGTTAGTTCAAATAATATGAAATAGAACTTTTTAGGTAGCTGTTCGATTGTTCTTTTAGCGCACCGTTTGTTAAAGGTATTCTTTGGTTACCATTCGTTAACGACCAAGATTTTATTAACGGTGTTAAAGTAAGATATTTAGATATCGTTAAATCGTCAATGGCGCCAGCAGAAAAGTTTTGAAATATGATATTATAGGCAAAAACAAGGTAATGGAGGAATTTTTGTACAGGGTGTCCNGCAAATCAAATTAACAAAGAACAGATAAAATATTTATTATTATCATTCTATAATTGGTTTGATTAATATGATCGCTAAATATCAACTAAGTATATAACGCAGGAAAATAAGTTTGGATGAAATAATTAAGCCATTTCTAATTTAGAATATTCAATCATAATTAATAACTTTAACCGGTTTTAGTATGTTAATTATTACCCCCCACCCCCCCTCTGAAAAAAATAAAATAATAAAATATATAAACTTACCAGAAATACTCTATAACAGTACTGAAGTTTATTTCAGTCCTGGAAATCAATATCTATCTGAAACATTAGATAACAATATTGGATTCAAACAGAGATTTTAAGTGCGAAAAAATATTCTATTATTAAAGATTTCTGAATAGCATAAAAAACTGTTGATAACGACCTTTCTCATTTATACTCGTAAAAGTTTACATTATCAATCATTTTTTTACTAGTTACAAAAATTCTTCTTTGATATAAAAAAAAACCAACATAAATCAAATAAAATAGATAAAGCTAATCAATTAATGATTCTACCAAAATTGTAAACAAACCACCCTTTACAATATTCATGGATACTATAAATACTAACATGATCGACAATATTTTACTAATACAAAAGAATGAATCAAATTGAATAGATTAATCTGATTTAATTTGTGATTCTACCAAAATTCTTAACATTATTTCAGAACTAGGTAACAATTATTTGAACTGTATAAATGGATATATTTCAAAAATAACCCAGTGAAAAAATCGAGATAGAGAGAAAGAATTGGTTTGACTAAAATCTTCAAAGAAATAAGAATTACTGTAAGAAGCAAAGAAGCCTCAAGGATTTAGAAATTCAGGATTTTATCTTTAATTTTGACTTAAATGAAATCTTTCTTATCTTCTTAACCTAAGAGTAAGAGTTTAGGATTTTAGTTGTGAAAAAGATGAAGCTTTTGTAACCATTAAAAAGAAACAATGAATAATACAGAATTAAAAAGATACAAAAATCTTAACTCTAAGTTTTACTGAAACATATTACCATTGTAAAAATTATTAGGTGGGAACGACCGCTGCAAGAAATTGTTACTTATTGCCAGAAATTCAAATTATTTTAAATAAACAAGTTCAGTAAACAAGGTAGCTCGACCTTAATCAGATGGGTTTACAAGTTTACATTGAGAAATTACAAAAATAAACAAACTTGGTGAATTCATCATTATTAGTGACTGTGTCTCAAACATATTCAAAGGGTTTCTGTGTGCACCATTGAATTCTATTATCAACAGTGCTGATCTCAAAATTATTAGAATCCACACGCACCATTGTACGCACTCTATTCCAACCCTTGTAGAATTTCATCTTTGGTCATATCTTTATCTTTGCAGCATTCTCTGGTCTTTTGCCCACAATCTAGCCATTCAAGCAGTATACTGGACCTTGGCAGTTTTTGCATGGATCTTTGGTATACTCAAGTATCTCAGATGGATTCATAGAATTAATTCTCTTTACCAGAAGTTTACCATGTTCCAATATGATAAAATGTTAGTAATCACGATTATTCGATATTACGGATAAAATGTTAGTAATCACGATTATTCGATATTACGGATAAAATGTTAGTAATCACGATTATTTGATATTACGGATAAAATGTAAGTAATCATGATTATTCGATATTACAGGTAAAATGTTAGTAATCACGATTATTCGATATTACGGATAAAATGTTAAATTGTTTATCTAAAACTGCATATTTGTACAGAGGTTGGCGGAACTGTAGTTAAGTCGTGTTTTCCCTCACTTGGGGTTGAGCCTTCATGTACAGAAGTTGGACCAGTGGTAGGATTCTACGTACATTTTTATTATTAAACGTTCAATCTTTTATTTGTCGCACTATCTTCTTACATCTGTAAACAAAAACAAAAACATTTCACGGATTTTATTCTTTTTTTTTGAAATCGAAATTTTTAAGAGGCAAATTTTTTTTATTCTGACCATCCATTAACCTTCCTTGAGGTTTTGTGAGGTTCCAGTTCCTAACATCATTTGAGCCCGATCAGTTCAACAGTTTTGACGTATATCGGATACAAGCAGACAAATATATTATATATATATAAAGATAAAAATATTTTGTAGAAAACCTGCATTTGTGACTCCGATGGATGTAACAAGAACTTCGATACTGCAGGTTTCTAGTATTTACAATTTACAGGATTTAACAAAAATAAAGAAAAAAAAGAAGAAAAAGAAATAAAAAAATTAAGAATAACTAAGAAAAATTTAGAAAAATTCACGAAGACTAACAACAACAAAAAACGATATACAAAAAATTAAAAAAAAAAACAGTAAAAATTTTCAAAAATTAACAATTAAATTAATTTTTAAATCTCTTTATTTCAGGAGCAGGAGCCCTGGCTGTTGGATTAATGGCGGTTCTGGGATCCATCCTGCTCCGATCCATTCTTTAAATCCATCCTGCTCCGATCCATTCTTTAAATCCATCCTGCTCCAATCCATTTCCACTCTTCTTCCTCCATTCCACTTTTCCCATTTTCTCTTTTCAACTTCATTCTTCAATGCTCAACACTTTCTTCCATTTCCTCATGGCCATTTTTTTCCTTAATATATCTACAATTAAAAAATCTTCGTATAAAAGTTTTTAAAAACAATGATATGGATGAACAGGGACAATAGTAAACGGAAAAATGTTATGAAATTACAAATATGAATATGAAACATTACAAAAACGAGAATGGAAAAGATGCCTTGAAAAGGCTAAAAAGCAAAAAGGAAATAGAAAAAATTAAAAAGAAAGGAAAGGGGAAAGAGAGGAAAGGATAAGAATGAAAGGCAAAATAAATGAAAGGAACAATAGAAAAAGAAAGGTAGGAAAAAGAAAGGATGGGGAAAAGAGAGAAAGAAAGAAAGGAAGGGAGAAGAAATGAAGGGAAAAGAATGGAAGGAAAAAAGAGAGGAAGAAAAAAAGAAAGGAAGGGAAAGGAAAGAAGGAAAAAGAAAGGAAGGAAAAAAAAGAGAAAAGAAAGGAAGGGAAAAAGAATGGAAGGGAAAATAGAAAGGAAGGAAAAAAGAAAGAAAGGGAAAAAAAGGAAGTGAAAAAGAAAGGAAGGGTAAAAGAAAGGAAGGGTAAAAGATAGGAAGGGAAAAATAAAGGAAGGAAAAAGAAAGAAAACGAAAAAGAAAGAGAGGAAAAAAGAAAGGAAGGGAAAAAGAAAGGAAGTGAAAGAGAAAGGAAGGAAAAAAGAAAGGAAGGGAAAAAGAAAGGAAGGGAAAAAGAAAGGAAGGAAAAAAGAAAGGAAGGGAAAAAGAAAAGAAGGGAAAAAGAAAAGAAGGGAAAAAGAAAGAAAGGGAAAAGAGAGGAAGTGAAAGAGAAAGAAAGGGGAAAAGAAAGGAAAGGAAAAAGAAAGGAAGAGAAAAAGAAAGGAAGTGAAAAAGAAAGGAAGGGAAAAAGAAAGGAAGGGA